TAGGGGAAGACAAAGGGATGGGCCTATCCCCATTTACTGTCAATTTTTTAATTACCACTAGATGGTTACAATAAAGAAACTAAATTCCAGGACCTTGAGCTCCAAATCCAGCTATTTTTGTGGAAAAGAGTAATTTTAGCCAACCTTTGTCTCGTCCATTGGGATGGCAATTTGCGTTTGTAACTAGTTTAATGAAAAAGCAATGTCAAGGGTTTTTTTAGTTACTGAATAGTCTTATCTCAATAACAAATTGTCAACTACGAAACCCAGCTTTACTAAATTGTTAGGATTTTTTTCTGTGATAATCTACAAACATGCAACAAATTATTTGTCCTTGAAATCAACTACCTTTGGATTGAATGTGAAGATGGAAGTTGTTAAAGGATAATACCTCGGCGGGGGAACTGTAAATGATGTAGAAAAATGAACAGTCACATCAAGATGGATTTGGTGCATGTACTTGGAAGACTCCAAGAATTTCCTGCCCATTTTATGTCATTTTTGCCTTGCAGTTCTTCTTCATACATAGTTGGCGGCAGACGCAGGAGCACCAACGCTAGTAATAAAGCATAAATTGGTCGTAAAAATAAATAATTTATCTGTGAGATCAGAGCAATCTTTTTCAGACTTTGCTGCTAGGGGTCATAAAAGAAGGATAAAAGTCAGATACTGCAGGTAAAGGAGGTTTTTCTACCTTAGCATATGGAAAAGAGCTTAACCCCTTGAGGATATGGTAGGCCTCCGATGTTCACACTGAGAACAGAGTCAAAAGGAGCAGGATTTTTTGCTGAGATATTGTTGAGCATTCAGACTGGGGTTGAAGACTGAAACACAAGTAGATAAAATGCCTTCCTTGACATGTGACTTTAGATGGGACCACAAACCTTTCCATGGCTGTATTCACCGCCATTACAGCCTCCCATCTCACGTTGATTAATGATGTCTGGCCTTGACCTGTGTAGGATCACTTATGACCGGTACGTTTCCCACAGTATGAGGTGAGATGATTTTGTGTCTCAATTCAATCCAGACCACCTAACTCATCCATTAAGCTTAAGCTGGACAAATTGAAAGATCATTGGTATAATACTTAGGGATTTAAACAAATAGAACTTTGAAACTTAACTTCTTTTTACAGGAAGCAGACATAGTTGTGGCTCCACTGACCATAACATCTGATCGTGAACGTGTGGTAGATTTTACCACACCCTTCATGGAGTTCGGGCTCTCTGTGATGTACCAGAAGATGGATCGTCCCCATCCAGACCCTCTCTCCTTTATGGAACCCCTGTCTACAGAAATTTGGATGTGTATCTCCTTTGCCTACCTCGGTGTCTCCGTTGTTCTCTTCCTTGTCAGTCGGCTCTCTCCCTCGGAATGGGGTGCTCCACTGAATAAGTCCAAGACTCCAACAGATCCCAATCTAGAAGGTGATGAGGGCGATGGAGCAGTGGATACCTCTCACACTGACAGTATTTTCTCAATCTTCAACAGTTTTTGGTTTGCGTTGTCTACTTTTGTTCAGCAAGGTGGAGATATTGTTCCAAGGTGATTAATCTGATGCTCATTCAAGCTGAACCGATTTTATTGCTTCGACAAAAAGACACTTTAAGTAAATAATGCATTTACTCGTCCATGCATTCCACTGCTCCACTTACAAACTTTGCGTTTAACTAATAAGAGGAGATCTTCAAGGCAGAAATTTTGCGCGTGCGAGTCAACCGGTCCGAAGAGCCAAGATATCCTGGAACAAGTTTCCTGGAATGCTCTTAAGTGCTGCAATCACTGTACAACCCAAAATCTTTCACTACATCTCTACAAGGACTTTCCATGATCAGAATCTTTACTTGCTGGCTAGATGCTTGCAGGAATGATTGCTGAGGTTGTAATCTGCCATTTACAGGAGTTGGAATTGTCACCCGCAGACAGGTAGCAGTGCATCAAACACTCATTCAGCTTTACCTCTGCTGTAAATTAGGTCCCTTCCGTGGTGGGATGTTTCTTTTACTTGCTTGCCAAGCAGCACGTACCATTATCAGTGTTGCCTCTCAACTCATCAGTCATTAATTGTTAACTCGTAATTAGACATTCTCGCCACCTCCTACTGCGCGACACTCGTCTTCATGCATGCCAAGGTAAAGCCTCCAAGTGGACCTGAACAACCCTCACAGAAGACAATGGATGTGTGATTTGTTGAAAGGGAATGACACTTGGCGTAGTATTTGAACAACAAAAAAATTTCAGCTGGAGTGGCCAACTTCCCTCCTAGATCCCTGTAGCAGAATTAGCAAGAGTTGTGGTTGGATGATTTGAAAACCCACTTACTTTAAGTGTGAAAACAAATGAGTCAGTTGCCAATTAATCTTTTTCACTTTTACTGTCCCGTCAGATCTCTTTCGGGTCGAATAGTGGGTGGTGCATGGTGGTTCTTCACTCTCATCATAGTCAGCTCCTACACCGCCAATCTAGCAGCTTATTTGACAGTGGAGAGAATGACGAATCCCATCCAATCCTACGAGGACTTGGCTAGACAGTCGAAGGTCAAGTATGGAATTATCAAGTCAGGCTCTACTAGAGACTTCTTTGAGGTGAGCGAGTCAGTTGTTCAGATTTTTTCAGAAATAAGCACACCCACTTTCAGCTCAAGATCCCTATTGCTTGAAGTCATTCATGGATATACATAAACTATGCAGCCTCGCTCAAAGGGATCTTCACTTCCATTGCTGGCACGCACACACGACTACACGATTAGCTCACAACAATTACACCAGCTACTACAATCAGCATGAGGACGCACTTTGCTCACTACTGCGTGTAGAATAGTCACGGTTACACCATTTAACCTAAAATGATCTCCTATGTTTTGCATAAATAAAACCTCTACATGCACATATGCTCACCCAACTGACTGCATGATGTGTCTACTAAACATTCAATTTGGCCACCTGACGTACCACTGCAGCTGCCACGTCCCTGTTATTCTTAAAACACGGCTAGAAGTTACAGCTCGTTCCATCATCAAAAGTAACACCCAACTTACATCTGGAAAGTTAATAATGCATCCACTTTAAGGGGAAATTTCTGTTCATCTGAAATTTGCCGTTCTAGTGGGAATTCAATCAGGTAATCACCTTGATTTCTGTAAAGATGACCAAAAATACATCGGTAGGGCATTTTATTTATTCAAAATTGTACATATTTTACATTGCGCAATGGTTTTGGGCATGAATGCTATTAGAGAGAAGATGTAGTGATAAAAGAACTGCAAACTTTGCAACTACTGCTTTTAACACTAACCCAAGTTAGCTGGAGGCGTGGGTAAACCAGATTTATGCTTATACATCGCACAAAGAAGATAGAACTATGATGTAGCTAAAGAGGGCAGAATATCACTCTCACATTCTCTCCAATTGTTCTTTCGTTCTTTTATCTTTCCATG